AAAGTCAAAAGACTTACTACTGTCTCAATAATTACAGACGCACATATTTGTAAATCCGTTTATTAATTAGTATTATACAGTTTTGAGAACTTCTGACAAACATTACGTTCTTTTTGGGAGGTATTAGTAAATATCGATTGCGAAGGGACGAAAGCTTTGTGGTTCAATGTCAGTCTTTGAAAGATGTAAATCTTCTGTAAACAAAGAGTTAAATATTGATTAGGACGTATAATCTAGAGTAGTAGTTTTAAATGATGTTATGTTTCCATATATCTAGTTTCAACGTCGTTACTCGTAATTTATAGATTAAAGTTCTGTATTATTTTTCACAAGCTAAGGTCGTCTACGCCATTTCATAGCCCGGGGTTCTTCATTGTTTTAAATGTCACAGTTGATTTCATGTTTGCACTAACCAAAATTCAATATTACTGTTTCATATGATCTAGTTCGTTATTAGATTAAATATAATAACTTATTTAATAAATAGCTGGAACGGATAAATTATTATTATTTATATAAAATGAACATAAAGGAAAATAATTTTAGTAAAGGACTAAAAGTAAACTTGATTATGATCACAGTGCGATGCTTATTTAAAACGGTTACACAAACTAGGATATATTGTATCCGTTACCAAATACATGTGAAGAGAATCCTATGTTAGAAGATTGCTAGCTAATCTTTAAAATATTGTTTTAATCTTTTCAACTTTTTCAACTAGTTTTCTAGACCAAGCGGCCATGTTTAATCGTGAGAATTGCAGAATTTACATAAAGTATTATAATCATATAAACTACAAGTTTCTAAGAGTAGTAGTCATTATCTGATGAACGTGTTTTAGTCCTAGCTATTGATCAACACTATATAACGATTATTATTAATGGTCCCACCGATACCAGTTGATTAATAATGTACCCACTCATAGATGATGAAGAGAAATCTTTGACATTAAAACTGGGTTACTCATTGTTTCGGAACATGTTAGCCAGACGATGAATATTAAGTTATACAGTAGCCAGTACAAAGATTAGTTTGTTTTAGATATATGGTGTGGTAATTCATGTTTCTGTTAGACAGAAACACATGTTGAATATCAGTATACATTAATACCACAACGGCAGTTCCTCTTAGGGGTAATTAAAGTGGGGTAGAAATCTGGAATAGCAGGAACACCGCATGGTGATAATCGTCAATAACTAATATCAAGAGAGACTTTTGAAAGTAGTTCGTGGAGTCGGACTAAACGATACAAGACAAACATATCTTGTTTAACTCAGTTACAGCGACACAGGATGGCGAGATTACATTTTATTAAACATAGAACACAGGAGGGCGAGGTTGGATGTTGTTAGAAATCACATAAGAGAGAAGTTAGATTTTGTTAAACAGAAATACATGATGGCGAGATTGAATTTTGTTAGACAGAGATACAGGAGGGAAAGGTTAGATTTTGTTAGCTAGATACACATGATGACGAGATTTTACTTGTTTTTGCAGACAGAGTAATGGTATTTGAAGAGGAAGACAAGAAAGCAAGTGAACTGACCAACGTGTTATCTGGACTTCATTCCAACTGAACGTGTTATATCTTTCAGTGTAGTTTAGTGATCGAATTATAAATATTTAACAAGAGGAATTCTATAAATATATTGACATTAATGTGCACATATGTATAAATATGCCGTAAAGTTAATTACCTTACCGATCAGTCGTTAATTATATCAAAGTTAATATTTAACAATAACTTTACGTAAAACCAAAATTAAAAGCAAAAACAACTCTATGAATGTGAAGATTATGTTTGGCAAAGAAAGAATCAGTACACAGGTGTTTCTATTCAGTTTAAGCCAGTCAATAAAGACTCTGTCTCTAAACGTTCCCCTATGTGTATGATTTTGTTAGCAAAAGGGACGAAATTGAAATTTATTTGTGCAATGAGAACGGCGTTCCTCTCTTCCTCCTCAAGTTGAACATTGTTGTGGCAACAGTGAAAGGAGTAAAGTCCTCAGTATTTTGAAGAGGTAGATTATATCATAATGTGCAGGTGACTTCAGGCATTATGTCAGGTACGTCGAAGTGTTACACGCAACTCGAAAGTAGGGACACTACGCATGGCCCAGTGATTAGCATGTCGAGCCATGGACAGAAAGTCCAAGGCTCAAGCTTGCGATATGCCTCCGAATAGGTTAAGTACTTTCAGCTGAGGGTGAGTTATAAAATTGACAGTTAGTCCCACTATTTGATTAAAAGTAGCCATGTAGGCAGTGATGTTGCTGACCAGGTTCTCTCCTTCTGGTCAGCAGCTTTAAATTGGGAATAGCTACGTCTAGGCCTCGGAGTATTTGACCTAGTCGTGAGGCCCGTTTACCACATAAGGTGTCGCTCAAGTTGAGTGTACCAAATGCCAGCACGATACAATTCTATAACATTATATACCACGACCGTTGATGAAGATTTCCGTATCCTTCAGACAGTTCGGTTTGGAGGAAAAAACGCTTTAGAAGACTGTGACACGTTGCTATTTTTGCTTTATTTCCTATTATTTTTTAATGTGACTTGTAAGGAACATAAATCAAACTACGTAAAGTAACTAACATGATAACGTATAATGCTTATTAATACGTGATCCTTGGTAAGTGTTGAGTAGTACATATAAACACATTCAAGAACACCAGAAAAGAAAGAAGTGTTGAATACCAACATTATATTTAAAGTTTATGTAGTGCTGTCAGTAATGCTAACCGAGGTCATTTGTACGATTGAATAAAATTCTATATATCAGTCACTTCATACCATACTTAAAAGGTCACGATATTATACGAACAAAATCACACTTAGTTTTTGGTCCACGAGCCTCGAATTTCCTATGGAAACTCAACTTATGAGCTTTGAAGGCAAATCTTCGGCGAATTTTACTGGTAGCAAAAAAAAATACTACAGTGGCTTCTTTAACAATTTGGGATTCATCGAGACTAGAGAAGAAGAAGAAAATAATTCTTATCTCGCGATATTTAAAGATCTTATAATCCTGTATTGTCAATTCCTTGTGGCATTTTCACGTGTGTGCACACGAGCCGGTTCATTCCTCACACAACTTGAACAGATAAGAGAAAAAGACAGAAACTTTGATCACTAAGGATGTTAGATAAAACATACCACATTCTGTTGATTACTTGTATTGATATGTTTTTAGGGCAATTATTGACCATAGCCAAAAGCATCTCATTATACGACTTTCCTATTGAGGCTAAAACTTTTTACAACTAAGAGAGTCAATGCATCTGCACATATTTATATAGATAATCATATTCGTTGAATAAACCCATCGGAGTTGTTAGTGATTCATGCATAAATGGTTTAAGTATCTAAGTCTGTAGTGTAATAGTTTTTGTGAAATAACACTTTTGATATTATTATCAATAAAACCCCATTAAAACAGAATAAACTAAAGAAGCTTATGTATTATGTATACTACATTTATTTCACCAATAAACACATACACTACCAGTTACTTTTCTTAACTGGATTTGTTAATCTCCCTAGATTGGAGGAATGTTTTATGATGTACAACATATAAAACAATATAACTGACTACTTCTCATAATAACTCTCCCTGGATTGGAGGGATGTTTTATGATATAAAACAATATAACTGGCTACCTTTCATAATAGCTCTTCCTGGATTGGAGGAATGTTTTATGATATACAACATATACAACAGTATAACTGGCCGCCTTTCAGAATAACTCTCCCTGGATTGGAGGGATGTTTTATGACGTACAACATATACAACAATAAAGCTGGCTACCTCTCATAATAACTCAACATATGACCTAGTTTTATAGCATTTACAACAATATACAATAGACAGCATACAGACTAATGGCAAGACAGTTAAGGATACATTTAACAGCACTTATTAGGCATGGTAAATAGTAGGCATTTTTATATAACTGCAAACGCCAAACTTAATACAGATAACACAGAATAAAACACACAGTATTTTCAGAATATTATATCAACGTATTTATTCATAGCTCAAACTCTGAATGATTTTGAGGGCGGTTTTCTGACTAACCAAAATTAATTGTACAGCTCTTCTACTCCAATTATAATTATAAGAAATTATAACACCTTAAAATATTTTCAAATGTTAACTTTTCCCGTATAACTTTCTGCGCAGATATTAAAGTAAGAACTTTAGCGGATTATACATTGAGTTGTGTATAGGGACTCCCTCTAATTGCCACTTTCTGGAGTTACTGTCAATTTCGTGATGTTTTACTGTCGAATTAACAGAAAATCACAGCGTTTTTTCTCCTACAAACGTATTTCAAAGGAAAAAATATATATTGCAGTCTGAGATTCGTGAAGTTTCGGTCATCTGAAAAATTAACGATATTTAGAACATGTAGCTAATGACATTAAAGCTGGGGTATACAAATAACGTGAATGTTTTTATTTAGTATTAGTTTGAGTCTTCTCGTGATTTGTACTTGTCCATAACAGAAAATTTTATTCGTTCATTATCTATTTAAAATTAAAATATAAGTTTTCCTGAGAAAAGAGCTTCCATATTTCTGGAACTCTCAATATAATTATAACGCGTGTTTACAAAGAAATACGTGGTTTAACATACAGCTTCGCTTTCACTAGAATGGTATTTTTAAGAGTTGTTCGGCCACACTCATAAATTGATGGAGATTTCTAAACAATGCTTAAACAGTTTAATCATCATATTCTGGTGTGGAACTTTACGTGGACTCCTTTAACTTTAATTAGAGTTAACATGTTGTGTAATTTGATTAAGTTTAAGATGCAAATCATAATGTTGTGTAGACTTGTTTTTCTGCATAGTAGAGTTGTCTTTGTTAAAATTCTATTGAGCTTAACCTGAGTTCAAATGTTTAAAATATTATTTAGAAGGGCGTTAAATAATGTGAAAACTATTGTTTGTTTGTAATTAAGCACAAAGCTACACAATGGGCTATCTGGGTTCTACCTACCACGGGTATCGAAACCCGGATTCTAGCATTGTAAATCAGCAGACATACCGCTGTGCCACTAGGGGTATGTGAAAATTATATTTCACTATACTGACTTTAACTTGAATATTCAATAGGTTTATTTAATTATGTGAATAGTACAGAACGGGTATTTCACATAATTATATATGACTTAGATTTATTACGAAGTTATTAAGACCATTTAGGTAATGTGGACATGATATAATAATTTATGTAGTTTTAAAAAGTTCAAATGTATATTGATGTAGATATGTTAAATTATAGATATATTTTAACTTATGTATCGATTAAGATTTTAGCTAAAATAACTTAATTTGTAAGGTGACATCTCTAAGATTAGCTAACCCTAAATTAAACGCGGAGGCATTAAAGAATGCCACATTGCCACTGCAGACCTAGAAACTATCATGTCTCTGAAGTGAGCCGCCTCGTCCCCTTTGGAATGCGGACCAATCACAACGCTACCCAAATTTTCTTTCTGGCTCAGGATATTATCATTCATTACGGAAAACTCGAGAGTAGCACTCCGCAGCATTTCTCTTGTTACATTGAATGTCAAAGCTTCATTGAATATAGGGTTAAGGGTTCCCCTCTGTGTTGTGGTCTTCTTCTTTTTGTACCGCTTCCCGCCATGATGCAATGACACTTTTACGTACGGATCTGTATACAAATACAACGAAAATATTTCAATACACATCAGTTCAATAGAAAACATTAGTTCGTTTGTTACCCTGTCGTGATGAAAAATAGTTTAAAATATATATTGAAAAAATCCATTGAAAAATTCCATCACGCCAGTGCAACGCAACTCATAAGATCTAATCATTCAGTTATAACTAGTACTTTTCATGTTGAATAATGTAAATAGTTTCTCATTAAAACTATAAAATAGACCCTTACAAAACTAAAGTACGATAACTTCGTTTTTAACCCATAACTATATATATTTACAGGGTGGACCAAAGCAATAGTAAATGTAATATTTGTCTCTAAGTCGGTACGGAAACGATGGCAGTAACATTTGTAACTATGAAATAAATGTCTTTGAATTGATCTATTACAATCACGATATTTCAGAAATAATAACTTAAGAAATACTGTGAATGGAATTTGTTAATTCAAAGATATTTATTTCATCGTGGGAACTGCTACTGCCACCGATCATGTACTAAATGAAAACTATACATTAAATTTATTATACAACACAGTCCTGTATAAATAAACACAGATTCGATACTAACTCTTATTGTCAACATATTAGGTCATTGTTGCAATAAGCATGAATTTTTGAATATTCCGTATGAACGCGATTTGGGTCGTTATTAACAACTTTATTTAGGTAAAAATATATCATAAAGAACAACGTAGGCAATTTGATACGAATTAGTTCATATTTTGTGATGAAATATTGTCTTCTATCAAGACAAAGACTGTATATACATATATGTATTTTTAATTCAGCCTTCTAAATGTAGAAAATATTGCATCAAAATTAAAGAAATGACGTTGATATAACAAACAACAACCAAAAAAGGGCCAGTTAATTGCAAGTGGTATATTTCAAAACATACAGATATTTGTGAAAGAGAAACTTCACAACTAACATTTGGCCTAATGAGTTCGTTAGTGTAAGCAAAGAAACAACAACTTGTTCTCAAGCGAACGAGTTCGTTAGTGTAGGCAAAAAACAACAACTTGTTCTCTAGCGGAAAAAAAATTAACAACAGCGTTCCTTTTCAAATACGCAGCTGCGATGAATGCCTAGTCTTCTAAAATGAATTGTTTTAATCGTATCATACCTGATATTTTCTTTCTCTCGTCAGCAGACACAAGATTCCTGGCTTTTAGTATAACAACTGTCAACCTCTCAGCACTCGGCAAGTAACCCAAGGAAAACATTAAATCCCCCAAGTCAGGCTAAAGTTGAATGAAATAAACGAATAGATGAAATTTTTGAGAGTAAAGTTATACCTAGTAAATGCTCCAAAAAATAAAACTTTTTAAACCTATACAAGAAAAACATTTTTTTCTTCTTTTCACAACACAGAAAGAAATAATTTCTTTCGCTATTGAAATCATAGTTTCTCTAGCTTTGGAAGGGTATTTAGAACACATTAATATACATGTATATATAGACTACAGTCCAAGGTTTCACTTCAAGGCGGTTATGTATAACAAAACTCTAATTCTTTCTTTTCTGTAAACTGTTTTTCATTTTACCGGTTTCGTTGCGTCGCAGGATACTCTTCAGTGTATAGAATGTATAGAAAAAGCTAAGCATAGAATATAATCGAACAATATATTAAACTTAACTAGTGATACTCAACGCATAAAATGCTTCTGTTAAACCAATAAACAATATGACTAGTCACGCAAATTTTGAAAACAACAACAACAACCTGGTCATCCGCTGCTTCGCAAATGGTTATTCCTTTCCACAATGTTGTCTTCTCGGTGAATTCTATGCGATCCAATGGGAGCTGTACTTTTCCCATACAAACATGCCTGGAATATTGGTCATAATCGTAAATCAAAATTTCCAGCGTCCGTTCTCGAAGCTCTGCTGGAGGAACATCAAAGACAAAATCTTCTTCGAAATGAGGATTGAGAGTTTTGCGGCGGACACTGCTTTTTCGAACATCTCTGATATCTGGAAGTAACCAGACCTGTAAGTAGGAAAAAATAAAGACATTTCAAATTCCATCCTAAGAATACCGTATCAAATACGTGCAAAAGTTTACTTAGAAAACAATCGCCAGGATGAAATCCACAATAGTTCAGGGAAAGTAAATTATTTGTCACAAATAAAATTATAATGAGTAAGATGGGTCGTTGTATGAAACAATACGTTTGTACAATAAAACAATACAACTGGATGAGAGAAATAACAATGAAATAGCCTAACACTGACGTATTTGTGTCAGGTAAACTTGAAAGGAATTAGATTAGGAAATCAGAATACATTTATTGATTTTTTTTCGATAAGAAAATAGAATAATTAAGTTATACAAATCCTGAACATTTACTAAAGTAACTAAGATGATTAAATTGACTCTTCCTTATAAAGTTCGTAGCATCACTACATGATAGGATAACTAACTTACTAAGAAATTCACAGAAAACAACTTTTTCACGAAAATAAAGTAAAAACCTTCAATTTTTCAAACACTTTAGAGTAATATTTAACTTTTAAAATTGAAACTCGTGGTAAGTTTGTTTGATCATATGTACATAAGATATTTATTTTGGGTAGGATATATATATATATATATATATATAAGATGGGTTTAAGTTGTATAACTAACGAGGGACTCCATTTTCAGATTATTGAATCTGATATGGGAAACTAAAAGTTTGAAATGTTTTGTAAAAGAAATTCGTATTTTTATAAGTAAGTGTGAAATGTACATCGGTTTTTACGAGAATGGATAAGTACTTAAATTACCTATTAGTAGTAGTTAAGAAATATTTATGTTAATAATAAATACAATTTTTACATTAGAAAGATTAAAAGAGAGAATCTTAACTGACTTAGATTATAAAAAATATCGTAAGATGAGTCTATGTGTTGTATGTTTTCACTGTTTGACTAGAGTGTTGCGACAATAAATCAACATGAAAGGCGTAATTGACTTAACTGACTTAGATTATAAAAATATCGTAAGATGAGTCTATGTGTTGTATGTTTTCACTTGCAACACTCTAGTCAAACAGTGAAAACATACAACACATAGACTCATCTTACGATATTTTTATAATCTAAGTCAGTTAAGTCAATAATGCCTTTCATGTTGACTTATTGTCGCAACACTCTAGTCAAACAGCCTTTCATGTTGATTTATTGGTAATTTTCTGCATTTTTTTCAGTGTATTTTTAAAGCTCCTGACGTTATACTTACCATTAGTGTTCCGTGGTCAATAGTTCAAAGTGGTGCGTGGTTTAAGGCCCTAATTTATATATAGTTGACTTTATTATATTATTCGTTTTTCTAGCTCATAAACTTAACAGAAAGAATTCTTGGTAAACTGAATCCTAAAAAAAAAACGTTATCATAACCTGAATACCAGAATAATCGGTCATGGTAAACCGAATTCATGATGAAGCAGTTTATAGTAAAATTGGATCCTTAAGAAGTAGCTTATGGTAAAATGGGATCCTTAAAGAAGTAGTTTGTGGTAAAATTGGATCTTTAAGAAGTAGTTCGTGGTAAAATTGGATCCATGAAGAAGCAGTTCATAGTAAAATTATATCTTTAAGAAGTAGTTCGTGCTCAAATTGGATCCTTGAAGAAGTTCATGATAAAATTGGGTTTTAAAGAAGTATATCATGGTAAACTGGATCTTTAAAGAAGCAGAACATCGTAAACTAAATTCTTAAATAAGTAGTTAACAGTAAAGTGGATCCCCGAAGAAGCTGATCACGGTAAACTGATCTCTGACGAAGTTCTTCAGATAAACTGCATCCTGAAGAATCTGTCTGTAGATTTATAATCATGATTTATCTATAATTATAATGTAGACTTTAGTAGACGTAGAAGCAATGCAAATTTTACAACTAGTAGCAAAGATATTATCCGACTGTCAATAGCTGCCTATTTTATCCTTCAATTTAGAGGATCACAGCAAATTCGGAAAATGTCAGTAATGAAACTATTGAACGTGCACATGCTTCACGAGAGAGATTAGCCTCAATATGAAATATTAGAATTGAACATAAACCGTAAGCCAATCTTACAAGCATACATTCTTAAAATTTAAGTTGTTTCCTTCCTTACCTTTGCGTAAGGGTCAGCTGTTCCACTGAAATCTCTAGGTATAAGGTCACGTATCTGAATCAGTCGAACACATAGTAAAGAAAACTGGGTATTATAGCTTACAGAAAACTGAAGCGAGCCTTGTGAGTTGTTGTCTGAGCCACTAGAGGACGCCGCTTCCTGTAAAACAATAATGTCTCATTCTGTTGAGTTTTGACTTCACGTAAAATACATATATATTGTATGGAAATGAAATTTCCCGTGTTATTCGTAAAGTACTTTAATATTATTTTCTAATATAAACGGCACACTCTGATGCTTATGTACCATTATTTTTAGTTAAAATTACGGTCTTCTCAGTGATACAAAATAAATACATTCATTAACGACATTTCGACCTTCAGAAAATGATTACACCTTATTCATTGAAGGCCGTAATTTTGAAATATTTGAACATTTTTTGCGAACTGAATCTTTGAAAGACTATTATTTCAAATAACGAGGTGTCAGTAATAATGTACATTATTATAATATCATCTACAAATTATTATCAGTTACTTCCCACAGGTGCGTTAGCGATAAGTTTAAGGCTTACAAATCAGTGATTCGATTCCCCCTGTGATAGGAAGAAGGATGATAGCCACTTGTGTAGCTTTGTGATAAAAATATAAACAGTTGATTCAAGCTTTTTTTTTATTTAAAAAATATATTCTTGACAACATTTTCTAACATAATTTGGGAAAATTGTTACCAAGCATGATTCTTACTTTTGATCCAAATAACCAATGATCCAAGAATTCGAGGAAGAAATTCGCACAATGCGTAAGAATTTACTTTGACACGAACTTGATAGAACCTACTATCCTACTTGACCCTACTATGTTCCAAATCTGTCTCGGTTCTTCCTACGTCTGAAGACAACGGGTAAAAAATAACCTAATCTATCATTTTGACTAATCTACCGAAAGGAAGTTATGTATATATTACATGCGTCATTAGAGTTATTGTAAGTTTATGTTATTCTTTCAGAACATTGAACGTCTAAGTTTGTTACGTCACACGCAAGCACTTTGATATCAAAGGGATAGGATTTGGTCTGAAAGGTATATGGTGGCATAAGAACACTTAACAATATACTTTTACTCATATACATTAAAACCAGTACTTATAATTTAATGGTTTTCAATATCGTATTTAGTCCAATCGGGAAAATTAACCCTATAGAGATATCAGTTTAGTGATATTCAACATATCTGCTCTGTTATGAAAAACTAGGCTAGTATAAATACTAATTTAGTGATTATCAACATAATATCTAGTATAAATAGTCAAATTAGTCCGGTAGATATATCGATTTAGTGATTTTCAACATAATATTTTCTCTAACCTGACAAATTAGTCAACTAATGATATCAGTTTAGTGATTTTCAACATATCTACTCTAATCAAACAAATTAGTCCGGTAGATATATCGATTTAGTGATTTTCAACATAATATTTTCTCTAACCTGACAAATTAGTCAACTAATGATATCAGTTTAGTGATTTTCAACATATCTACTCTAACCAAACAAACTAGTCCAGTAGAAGTATCGATTTGGTAGTTTTCAGTGTTTGTTTGTTTGGAATTTAGCACAAAGCTACACAATGGGCTATCTGTGCTCTGCCCACCACGGGTATCGAAACCCGGTTTCTAGCGTTGTAAGTCCGCAAACATACTGCTGTGCCACTGGGGGCGGTTTTCAATGAAAGATATAGTCAAAATTAACTAGGTATTAATATAAATTTAGCGATTTGCAAAATATTAACTAGTCTAATCTGATAAATTAGTCCAGTAGAAATATCAGCTTTGTGATGTTAAATAAATGTCCCCCGGTGGGTCAGCGGTATGTTTCGGGCTTATAACGTCAAAATTTCGGTTTCAATACCCTCGGTGAGAAAAGCACGGATAGCCCATTGTGTAGTTTTGTGTTAAAAAGAAACGAAGTTCAACAGATATACTCTGTTTGTACACATCAATACTCAGTATTGAATTCTCTACAGCAAACAATATCACTATTCGGTGTATTACATCTTAAGTATCAACTTTTGAGCAGAATCCGTATTTTAATAGGAATCATTAATGTTCAGTACTGGTACTTAGTTTCTTAATATCAGAATAAATTATAATGGAGTTATTAATTCAGTTTTTTACGTTACATCTTTTTGTTGCCGTTTTTTTTTTTGGGGGGGGGGTCACATTGAAAGAAACCCAGCGCTTGTGCCAGCTCAATATATGTTAAAAAATGTAATCGAGTTTGGCAAAGCTGTATTTACTTTTAGAGTGGCGCTTTGAATTATTTTATTGAGGGTGATACGTCTCCTGAATTGCTCCCATATATATGTAAATTATACTTAAAAGATGTAAAATGAGATACCATCAAAATGCACTATTTTCAGTGAAAATCACAGTTTTTTGTTTTGTCTTTTCCGGGACGGTATGCACCAGACCCTCCAGTATAGTTTCGTCATAAATTTTGTTTTCTACTCCACAAATTGTATTCCCTTTATAGATTTCTGCCTTCGTGTTATATGGCTACATAAGAATTCAGCATTTACATCAGCTTCGCAGGGAGCTCTATCGTTTTCTTAGTCAGTCAATTATAGCACAGATTTTTTTTCTAATGTGACAATTCCGAACATTTTTCTTTGTTGAGTAGCGCCTATTAAAACCTAAGTTTTATCTCAGTTTGAGCTGTTTACTCGCTTTGTTTTAATGAAACACGATAAAACGTAGGACTTAACTAATTCTATTACATCTGAATATATTTATTTATCTGAAAACGTTATAGAACAGTTTGTACCGTATATACCTCAATTTAGGGTATTTATTTTTTGAGCGCATTCCCTACATTAATGCCACCGATATATAAGTTTCAGTTTGACACTTTTGAAACATACACTAAAAAGTATACAACTTTAGGTATGTTTTTTTGAACGTTTCAACCTTTTATATCACATTGGAACATATTCAAGTAATTACCTTACTCTGATACATCGTGGCATCAAATTGTGTGTGATTCAACTTGGTGTACATGGAAGTCAGTCGTGATCTGATTGGACTTGAGGGGAGTGGTGTTGGTTGAACGTATTTGATCAGGGGTGAGGCTCCCCGCTCTGCTGTTGAAAATCCTGTTTGATAGATGGCAAATGGTGACACTTTTGTTCCCAATGGCGTCAGTGGAGTATCCGGGACGCGTTCATCTTCAAATAATAATTCAAAGAATATATTGAAATAAAAACCAATTCTTCTTATAATATATTTAGTATAGAGTGCATAAAACATCCAAGTTGTGATTGGTCTCAAGCTTTGCTGTTATGCTATCGATATGATGCCACGAAGTTAACAGGCCCGTACGCAGAATCTTTGAAGGGGGGGGCTCTAATTTATGAGATCAAAAGCCAACCCTTATTGTGCGCAGTACAATCAGCATGCAAAGCATGCTAATACTATGGGGTCTGGGGGCATGATCCCCCCAGAAATGTTTTTAAACATAGGTGCTATGGCATTAAATATAGAAGTACTTTTGCATGAAATATAGCTTAGACAATTGCATGGCTGTTTACATATAATCCACAAACATACAATGAAAAGTAAACAAATCACCATTCTGTTGTAACACTGCATGGGAAGCTAGACTTAAATTATCATAAATAGGTATGTTTTATTATAGTAAAGTACTATACTATATACATACAGAGTATTTATAAATTGTTATACCCAATGGGCGATCTGTGCTCTGCCCACCACGGGTATCGAAACCCGGTTTCTAGCGTTGTAAGCCCGCAGACATACCGCTGTGCTACTGTGGGGCCTTTATAAAGGTCAAACTATCACACAATAAATACCATACATTTATAATAAGGATAAAAAAAAAGCTTGTATACATTATTCAACACGTCAACAAGGAATTTATAATTTAAAAACTAATAACATTTCATTGTTATCATTCAAATAGGTTTGTGATACCAGAAATAGCCATGCTATGTGTGTTGAAAGTTTCGAGTGTTTTGAATCAGTCCAGTAACTATTACTACTGCAATCATGTAAATCATTCTCAGTTGGTTTCTAAACATAACGGTTTATATTAACCGCCAATGTAAGTTTGATTTTGTATAAAACTTTCAGTCAAAGACCATTCCTCAGACAATTTCGTTCTAAGAAAACCAAATGCGCTAGTTTTATGCAAAATTAATCTAACAGTGTCGTGTTATCGATAATGTTTTTCTGGGACTAATGAATTGAAGAATTGTATGTCGAGTATTTATACACAAAAACAAACAAACAAGAAATAACTTAAAAATATGACGGAATAACTTAGTTAATTTAAAACTAGAAAACAAGTTTTGACTACTTTTCGAAAACTTCCACACATCCAAGTTGACCCAACCTTTAGTTTTCAATACACGGTGTCTGAGACACTGGTTGTCATGGAAAATAATTTTTTGTATCTGTTTTAAACTTTAGAGAAAGATAATCACAAAGCACCAAATACGCCTATAAACACTCTAATTAAATTATTGATAAAACTATTCTCATCGAGAAGCCCCCCCACCCCTGTGGCACAGCGGTATGTCTGCGGACTTACAACGCTAGAATCCGAGTTTCGATACCTGTGGTGGGCAGAGCCCAGATAGCCCATTGTGTAGCTTTGTGCTTAATTACAAACAGACTCGTCGAGAAAGTACCCTCTTGCATAATGCCTCACATTGCTTAATGTTTCCTCAAAGAGCAAACGATGTTCGCGACGCTGTTGAAGAAATCATTAGGTACAGCAGGAAAGTACTGTGTGCAAGTTTATAAAAACAACAACAACAACACTAATAACACATCAGCATAATAATAATTAATTTTTTAATTAACAAAAAATGCAAAAAACCCGATTAGTTTCGAAGAGCCAAACTTGTCATTCTCAGTGGACGAAGAAAACTTGGGAATAACAAACTTCTTGTCGAACATTTTTGTACGTTTTGTTAAGACCAATAATTACTGTTTTCTATATACTGGGAGGATTTAATGGCGTAAGGGTTGCAATACTTACTACAGTGAGTGAAAACTAAATTAATTCAAAAGATCACGCACAACGTAGTGATCTATATAAGATAAAAGAATCATTATAGTACATTTATATGCGGTAATTCGGGATGAGATGACAGGGATTACGTGTTTTAAAGAATAATAAATTATTATGATGGAGCTAAGATTTTGTACTGTATAGTAGCCAAAAAGCGGTGTAATATGTAGGTGTCTCTCAAGTCAGGGAACTTTAAAGATAATATGTCAGAAACAACAACTAAACTTGATTGCATCTTACCACCAAAATCAACTGCCGCCTCTCTTACAGCGCCCTCTTTATGTATGTCATACGGAACCCAAACGTCTTCCGAGGCAAGACCTTGTGATCCATCTGAGCCTTGAGGCCGAAAAATCCTGGAAACACTAGAAGAAGTTACGTTCGACCGGATCACCTCTTTAGCACTTTCTATACTTCCGGCTTCAGACGTTGAAGGTTCAACTTTTCTCTTTTCTTCTGCAGCAGCAAGGTTTGTTTTTTCAAACCAGTTTAATTTATAGCGTTTTGAACAAAGAACGTAAAATAGGATCCCAATTAAGACAAGAAGAAACAGAGAAACGCAGGTGTATACAGCTGCCGAGTATTCCTTAGAGAGGCTACTCTTGTTTGATGATGTCATAATCGTCATCAAAAGGTACAGACCACTTCAAAATAGTTATTTTCTTCTATCTGAAAAACAAGAAGGGAAATGACGTTAAGCAGAGAATGTATAAATAAATACTTATTCGTCAAGATTGAAAAAAAGAAGTATAATAAAAGCTCATATTCCTTGTCTTGAACTACTAACTAGACGGAAGACAGCCAGCCAATAACAGCAGCCGTCAGAAGGGCTTTGAACCGTAGATCCTTATATTGTGCGTGACCTTCTGAATTAGGTTAGTTTTCAACTACTGTAATATGTACTGCACACATTACATCACTAAATATTGCCGCTATATAGTAAACAGTGCATTTTGTATATAATTAAGGACTCCAATTTTAAGAAGCAACGCATTCTTTACACCATTAAGTACTCCAAATTTAGGAAGCAGCGCATTTTTTACGTTATTAAGTACTTCAACTTTAGTGAGCAGTGTATTCTTTACATAACATAACATAATGTTTGGGGACAACAAAGTACCTATCGGTCCATCTAGGCTATCCCATCCTCTAAACGAAAATAAAACTATTAAATAAAATAAAAATCCTCAAAGTCAGCCTTTATCATTCATGTAGTTATCAAGTATTCACTTAAACTCACTTAAATTTACTGCCTCCACAACATCCAAAGGTCAATCACTATGTTAAAAAAACAAAACTTTCTTAGCTGAAGATGACTCCTACCCTGACAAAATTTATTTTTGTATTCCCTAGCCCTATTATCCTCACCCTCAAGTATGAAAAAAGATGATGCATCAACACCATAAATTCCCTTAACAATGTTAAACATCTCAATCAGATCTCCTCTTACTCTTCTTTTATTCAAGAGAAACCAATTTCAGATATAAACCCTCCTGGTATGACAACTCTTCCATTCCAGGCACCATTCTAGCAACTCTCCTCTGAACCTTTTCCAACAATGCAATGTCCTTCCTAAGGTAAGGAGCCGAAGACTGAACACAATACTCCAAATATGGCCTAACCAGTGACCTATACAATTATATTATAGCCTCTTTAGACTTGTATTCAATATTGCTGTAAATACAACCTAAAATCCTATTTGTCCTACCACTAGCAACAGCACATTGCTTGGATGGCTTAAGAGACTGATCAACCATTACACCAATATCCCTTTCTTTCATTACACTGTGAAGATTATTCCCACCCAAATTATACTTATAATTCAAATTATGATAACCCACTTGCATTATTTTACATTTATTATAATTAAAACCCATCTGCTATTTATTCGCCCAATTCACTAAATGATCTGATTCCTTTTGTAAAGCAGTAACATCCTCCTCACAGCCAGCAATACTTAAGACCTTAATGTCATCAGAAAATTTAAATAACTTATTGACTATTTCTTCAGCTATGCCATTGATGTAATTCAAAAATAACAAAGGTCCTAAGATTGAGCCCTGAGGTACCCCATTTATAACATTAATCCAGTTTGACTGAAATTTATTTATAAAAACCCTCTGTTTTCTTCCATCCAGCTACTCTTCTATCTAATTAGCTAACTCACCCCCCACACTTAAAGATAATTTTTTAAAACCCTTTTATGTGGCACCTGGTCAAATGCTTTTTGAAAATCTAGATACACCAATCTACACCCTTACCCTCATCTACATAAGTAGTAACATTTTCAAAGAATATCAAAAGATTTGTAAGGCAGGATTTTCCCTTAGTGAAATCATATTGACTATCCAATAAAATTATTTGTTAAAACGTTGTTAAATGACTTTGCAAATCATCATTTATCCGATTTTCCAAACCTTTTCTCACAAATGATGTAAGACTAATAGGCCTATAATTACTGGGACAATTTTTATCACCTCTCTTGAAAAGAGGAGTCGCATTAGCCATCTTCCAATCCTCTGGTACCTCCTGCCCACTGTTCAAGTACTTACATAAATAGTAGCAAGTGGCTCAAATATCCAATCTTTAAGTTCTTTCATAACCCTTAGAGAAATATTATCTAGCCCAGGAGACTTATCGTTCTTTAAACTTCCCAATGTTTTCTTAGCAAGCACAGAATTAATATGATAATATTGTTTTCATCTGTCAACTGTTCAAGATGAGAAATATTGCTTAAATCTTCATTAATAAAAACTGAAGAAAATGCAGAATTTAATAACCCAGCCATCTCATAATCATCAAATACAGCCTTCCTTTATTATCCCTCAAAGGTCCTACCCTATTCTAACATTTTGTTTAACCTTAATGTATTTAAAGAAATCCTTACTGTTAACTTTTACATTTTCAGTCAACTTTTTTTTCATACATATTTTTTGATATCCTAACTTTCTTGATCTTCTAAATCTCCCGTCATACCAGTCAATTGAAAGTTCTTAAATTTGTGATCATTTTTTCTGATTTTATCCTTTATACCAACATGAGTAATCCAACAACAGGGACAATCACATACTCTACATCAAGGATTTCACAATTACAGAATACACAAAAATCTATTACTGTAGAATTCATCTTCTACTTAAAGTCACATACTGTTTTATTTGAGTAAGGAGTATATATATATATATATATACATATATACTTCACTTGAGAAGTCTCAACTATATTTGAAACAGAACACTTTCGGGGACACTGCAAAAGTACATTAGTATTATTTCAAGTTTATATATAAAGTGTTATATATAAGGCTGTTCAGTGAAGATATATGTGACATAGGAAGAAAAGACGCCATAATAGTTATCATAGCCAAAACACCGTGCAAAAACCCCCAAATATGAATAGAGTTTTAACTTTTATTTAAATATAACGAAAAATAAATATTGAAAAATTATTGAAAGTCATTGTACAAAACACTAGAAAAACTCAGTGTAATCGGTTTATTAACGTTCCGTCCTTGGCTGTTATGGCTGCTCTAATTCTTAATAGTATGGTACTTGCAAGTTTCTGAAAGGTATGCTGAGGAATTATTTATCATTCCTCAAATACATCAGAAATGGCTGTCTCATTTACTCACGATTATCTTTCAATCAGTGTTTATTTACCTAATAAAACTTATGTGATAATCGCCATGTTTTAAAAACCTTTAATTTTGTTTCTCTTGCAAAACTAAGTTGTGCAATTTGCACCAAAGTACCTATTCATCCGGCTCCTACAATCTGCTCTTTTCGAAAGTCAGTTAAGTTGCACGTCTTTCCAACGCTTCTTGACAACTAACGCAGAACAGAGCTTACATGTGTTTAGATAACAAATCACCAGTCAAAGAGGAATGGCAGCTGGTCAACACCACCCATCGCCAACTTTTGGGATATTCTTATCAAACGAAAGGTAGGATTGACTGACACATTATAACGCTCTCACAGCTGAAAAGACAAGTATATTCGGCTACGGGTTTTGATCTCTCGACCTTCAGATTGCAAGTAGAGTACCCCAACCACCAGGTGATAAAAGGTCTAAGAGTTTTTAGAAAAATATTTTCCAATGATGTTAAGCTTATATCACTCTCTTCACATGTAATATTTGTTATAACGCACCTCTAGTTATATTCTGTAATAAACAAAAAGATGAAACAAAATAAAATGATTCGAAAAAATATTGACGGAGTGTAATTAATGTGTTTTTTTTCTTTTGTTTTATTAACCTGTATCAGATCACCGTACTGCTCTAGTTCTATTGAGAAAAGTTATCTGGATATCTAAAAACATCCAATGCCGAAGAACTGCACAATCTGTAAATCGAATCACAGCCTGTTAAATTATATTTTTATTTGAGCCTAAAGTAGTAATGATCATAAGAAAAAATCCTGAAACACACATTACGCTTTGTTTTATTAGCTATATATTTCTATGAAAACTATATGAACGCAGAAGTTTTCTTTCGCAGTAACGATTACATAACAGATTTATATTGCATTTATTGTCAATTCAGTAACCACTTGCCAAAAAATACAGTATTTGAAGAAATTCAACTAAGTTAGAAAAATAGTATATTATAGGATTTAAACCTTTGAGTGTGCCAAAAATATGATAAAAATATTTTTGGCTAATGTGTTTGTTTTTGAATTCTAAATATTTTTTTCTTTTTTTTTTGTTATAAACTTGATAATTGTGATGTAATTTTTAAAGATCTTAAATACAAAAAAAGCATAAAAATATGCATATAAATCCTCTGTATCTTTACTTAACCTGCTACTGCAAAATAAACAGGATCTTTATTTTTTTTTATCTCTGATCAAAATCAGTCTTTCACAAAATATATCTTAATTCATCATTTTAGCGAACTGCTATCCACTCTTTTTTCAAACTTGGCTCTTTGTCATTCGTCAGGATCTACGAATGGAAATGCTAAGACGTTTAGGAGAAAATTCCTGTTTAAACACTTCATACATTAGTTTGAAATATATATCTATATATAATTGGTTAAACATTTTATAAAAGCTAAAACTTAAATGACTCACCCAATGTTATCATTCATTAAACAAATGCATAACATTATTAGCAGTGGTGGGCCCTGAGTGTAGTACAAACTACTGCCCCCCCCCCGCACATTACGGCCCTTTTCTTTAAATGCCTTTATCGACCTTTTGTACTTATCAATAACCTCCTCTTACCTACCTTTCCCTACATCATTAGCCCTACGTGTACAGCAAAGATTATATCACTGTTAGCCCCCTTAATTGTATCTCTTGCTCTGTCAATTATATATTCCACCGGTGCCCTGATAAACTAAATATATTAGTGATAAAAAATAAGGAAATAAAAAGAAAAATATATATGTTTCAAAAACGTGGTTCATTATTATTGTTTTATTATACACTTCATATTTTATTATTTATTATTATACTTGCAACGCGCGGTGGACCTCTGACGGCGATGGACCCTGGGCAGCTAACCCTTTTGCCCATTGGATAAAACGGTCCTGATTCTTAGTCAGAAAATAGTTGAGCTCTGAGGGTAGTTACAGACTAAGAAAATTAAAAGGATACAATTATTTCCTTTTATAGTATACATCATTGATAGTATATTTGCTCATATTATGAGGCTATTCATTAAAAT